TCTGATCAGCAAGCTCTGCAGCTTGTTGCTGCGCGATGAACATTTGCTTGGCAGCACCGAGCGGTGCAAGACTTGCGAGGGCTGTCCTGCGTTTAGCAGGCTGCGCCTATGAGTCTGACCAACAGGCTCTGCAGCTTGCTGCTGCGAGCTGACCCTTTGCTTAGCAGTCTGGTCATCAGGTTCTGCAGGCTGACCTGGGGCTGATTAGCAGGCAAAAAAAAAACAACAAACATAACACAAAGCACAACAAAAGATATTATCCACCTGTCGCAACTTCGGGGAAGGCTGTGACTTTGTTCCTCTTCTGGCCTGTTGGTACGCTGCTCTCAGCCGGGCCGTGCGTGACCCATTTGCATAAGTGTTGCGCAGCTGTGGGCATTGTACCCGCTGAATAGGTGCAGGCGCTTTGCACCTGCTTTCAGGGTGTTTTGTTTAAGCTTAAAGCTTGATCAGTAAAAGCCACTATCTGCGATACCGATGTCAATTGTCACCAGAGCCAGTGTCAGACTGCAGCACATGCATCTACAAACACTTGGAGCTGTTGGGCATGCCGCATTTGCTCCTGCATGGCAGTGCTGTCACCACCAACCACATCAGCGTCCCAAAACGAACATGGAAAAATCGCCCAGGAAGGCAGCAAGTGCACCTATGTGCACCTTTTTGGGAAACTGGATCTGTTGCATATGCTTCAGCTGCTCCTGTACGAACCTGCTGTCGAGCCGAGAATCTGCAAGCCAATGGCACGTCGCAGGATCTTCAGCTGAAACTTGCAGCAACACTGTTGCTAATTATTCCAAAAACCAAGACATTCACTTGTAAAAGCATCTAATAAAACCCGTAGTGTTCATATGTAGCGCAGCTGGACGGAAGAGACAGGTCGCACATCTGCATCGTCATGCCGCCACCAACCCAACATGGGTCTGTCAGCAAGAAAGGCCTCGAAAGCACCAGACCCTTTAGTGTTTGCATGTAGCGGCTGGAATCGAGTAGCAGCACATTTGCACAGAATTCGCCCAACTGTGACTGTTACTGCCCCAAACAATTTTCGCATCAAGGCCTAAATGATGCATCACGAAAAAATGGCTGTGAATGTGCCGCCAAAACTCCAGAGCATCTCTGTCACCATTTCCGTGTGACCGATCTAGAGCCACTTCTGGTGATTCTGCCCCTGGCGGCGGCAGCAGCGCCGCAAGGAAGCAGACGACGCATGTGCAACAGATCAGGATTGCTTTGCTGCATTTGCTGCTAACCTCGGCAAGGTTGTACGTGTGAGGGTCCAAGGTCTGCTTAACTAGGTTTTAGGCCTTTAACAACTCTCTGAAGACCCTGCCTAACGGAAAACGTATTTGTCTGTTAGGTTGGGTATTAAGGTCCGGAGCAAGACAGGGGGGCACCCTTTAGAACATCCGACCTGGTGGACTTTCGTAGTTGTGTAGTCACCGGACCTCGTAAATGCAGTGGCGATGGTAGTCCCATGCAGTTGCGGCTGAAGGAGGCGCAACAGCTGCAAGCTGCAAGTAATACATTTTGCACGGGAGGAGCTGCAGATTTGCATCACGTTCAAGCTACAAGTCGTCCCGGGTGCCTTTTCTGATCACGTGGGATTATCCTTTGGCGGCGGCAGCATGCCGTACGGGATCGGCGGCAGCATAGCAGCATGTTCGTGGCCCACACTGATGCAACCGCTGCAATCCTGGGCGACAGATTTGTGGTCACTTGGGGTGATGCAGCCCCTGGGCGGTGCAGGCTCTGGCATCCTGATTGGTGTCACCTTTCTATCGGCGAAGCCTGCGAAGATTCCTGAGTTGCGCATTGCCACGCATTGCTGATCCGGGGTCCCCAACATCACACAAGCCTTGCGGTAATTCCTGTGTGGCAGCACACGCTATGCGTGGCATCTGGCTCGACGGTTGTCGTTTCATGCAGGTCCTCAACATGCTCCGCTAATGCTGGTGTTGACGGGCGAATGCACAAGCCTGCTTCTGTAGCTGGGACGGCACGTCCCAACTCAGTGTGGTGGCACACGTGCGGTCACATGCACCTACCGATACCCGCCTACCGCCAGCACGTCGTAGGCACGGGTCAAAAACCGGGGTTGTCTTGCTCAGGCCGCACTAGTGAGATAGAAACAGCTGCTGAACTTTTCTGGTATGCTTCAGTCTTCGCTTCGCTTCTACCATGCTAAAACAAAAAAGCAGCAAGAAGTCTGTGGGACAGTACCGCTTGCGGCGCGCGGTCGCCTCGCTTCGCCCGTGAGTGTGGGCTGTCCAGCATCACAGGCTGTAAAACAAAAAAACAAAAAAGCGCTTTTGGCCCTGCTTGGTGGTACCGCCGGCGGTGCGCGGTCGCCTTGCTTCCCCCGTCGGTGAGGGCCACCTTTTTCCAGCGGGGCGCGCTGCAGAAGGCATGGGCTGTGGGCATTCAGCATCGACGCACTTCGAACATGCGGTTTTTTTTTCGCCGAGTAGATCGGTCAGGGCTCAGTTTCCTGGGATCGTGCCTGATAGCTCCCTAGTCATGCTTTGTCATCGTGCAACGTTGTCAACTTGAGACTTGTGGCTCTGAAGGTTGGCCTTGCTGGCTTGCGGCATTCCAGTCAACCGAACACGTCTTTACTTTGGCCTGATTGAAAGCATTCGGTCTCCTTCCTTTTCCGCGGCAGTTTCATACTTGGCGACTTATGCATCGAACTCTAGCTTGCTTTGCTTCAGACTTCGCAACTGCTTCGTTCGACCACCACGTAAAAGGAAGGAGTCCGTTGTCTGTGTGAGTGCATAGCCGAACCCTGAACAAATCCAGTTTGTGCCCTGCTGTAGAAAGCGGCTGTAGCTTCTGGTTGTGAACGGTATTTGTGTTTACTCAAACGTGTTTACAACAGAGCTATAACGCTTCATGTACATTTGAATGCTTGGTGATTTTACACTGCTAAAGCCGCTTTGCTCAGCAGTAGCTTCACACATGTTGTTGCAGCAGACATGTGGGAGCTTTACGTTTTTTCACCCACCCGTCCCTCCCTGTGAGGGCCTTTGCGTCCTGGGCTTCGCCTCAAGATGCATTTGTCGCCTGTACGCTATCTCATGTTTGTGATATCATAGCTCTTTGCTGGCTTTTGTCGTTGTTGTGGACGTACTGGCGACTTATGCATCGAACTCTAGCTTGCTTTGCTTCAGTCGCAACTGCTTCGTTCGACCACCACGTAAATGGAAGGAGTCCGTTGTCTGTGTGAGTGCATAGCCGAACCCTGAACAAATCCAGTTTGTGCCCTGCTGTAGAAAGCGGCTGTAGCTTCTGGCTGTGAACGGCAACTTGAATGGAATCTCTGCAGTTCGGCTCAATCTATTTCACCTGGCAGGCCCAGCATGCTGGTCAGTCATGCTTCCCGTAAGGTGAGCATGTAACAAAGCCATATATTCAGTCACTGAATTGAGACGTCTGCGGCAGGTTCGAGTCAGAAAGAAGTTTGAGAAGTTCGTGGAGCCTGGATGACCGTTGTGCCCTGATTGCTGCAATTTCTGCCCGGAGGTTGCATCTGCCAATTTTGCCTGGCATCCCGAATCTCTCCGTCACAGCGGGCTTCAATCTGGCATAGTAGAGAAGCAGCTGCAGGGCACTCGGAGCATTGCGCGGCTGGTGGTTGTTCTTTCATTTCACTGTCGGTGACATTGCAGGCGCTTCCTCTGCCTCTGAGAGTCAGAAGCAATTCAGGCTGCCTGCCTAACAGCAGAACAACCGTGCATCTGCGTTTTGAGGTTTGCCAGGTTTCCCAGGTCTGCCTGCAGCCGGAAGTGGCGAAAAATCCTTAACAGGTGGTGGGTTCAGCAACCCCAAGCCCCCTACAGGTTTGCTTGAGTCGTCTGTTTCGGGAAATCTTGCTGCACATCTGCCTTCTCGCAGGCAACTCACCTGTCGGAATCTGCGTCCTGAGCTCTCGTCAGTTGTGTGGGCCAGCTCCGCCTGCAATGACAACACTTTCATGCACTCCCAGCAACAAGTGTGTCTTGGCAAGGGATAGAACCGGGCCAGCTTCGTTCACTGGCCTCCACGATCCAGTGCCAACAGCGGATGGCCCGTTGTAGATTGTTGAGCAAGCGCTGTTGCCGTTCGGCAGAGTTGCGTGCCACAGCTGGCTGCGGAGCTGGCTACTTCGTGTTCGGGAAGCAGTTGCGGTGCTCAATCCCGAAGCAAGATCCTTGTGAAGCCCCGCTTTGTGAGTGCAGTGCACACGGTTTTTGACACGTTCTGAAAGGACGACATCCAAAACTTGCTATGCTGTTTGCCTGCAGCCGAGACGAGCTTGAAAGGAGAAGGTGCACTCTAGGTCCCTAGGCCCTCTGTCGATTTCGTAGTAGCAGTCGGCGTCACCACTGCGAGGATTGTGCTGCGGTGCTAGCCTTTGCGTGGATCTGCACGAATGTTATCAGTGCGTCCGCGCCAGCGCTCATCGGGCTCAGCGTCGATGGTCCTCTCGCATGTACGCCTTCGGCTTTTCTGTCAGTCTCAACACCACCCAGAGCATGTCCTGGTATGCAAGCTGCCCTCAAGCCAGTCTCAAGAAGTTGCTGGTCTTCTCGGTCTTCTCCACGTTTCCTGAGGCTACTCGCCTTCATGCTGTCGACATGTAAACGGCTGTAAATCGAGGTAGCTCCAGCGCCTCTAGCGGCAGGAGGGTGCGCTCAGCGCCGACAACGATTGTCCAGATGTTCTGCCCGACTCTCCCTTGCAGCAAGAGTGGTGAAAAGGCTCTACTCGAGCAAAATCCAGTTTGCACAGGTCCCTCTCCGGATTAAAGCACGCTTGATCTAGGCATGCCATAAAAGGGAGCTCGGGCTGTGTGGGACACGTTCACTGTCTGAACACGACAGAAAGAAGCTCTGAGGAGCCCTCCAAGAATCATCTTCATCTGTGCATAGCATGTCATGCTCCTGTTAGTGCTACATCACCAGCTTTCATGAGCAGGCATTTGAGCTTGGTTGCAGGGTTGCGCAGATGCTGTCAGGTGGATGACAGTTCCGATCATGTGCAATCACTATGAAATCTCGGGACACCAAAGCGTGTTGGGCCTTTCCGTGGCCGTTCTGCAAGTGCTCGAACGGCTTGTCAGCTGCTGTCCTCTCGCATCGCTCATGCCTTGGCGCGCTGTGTGCACTCCACGGCCGTGCTTTCCAAAGCACCCCAGCGGCCATTGCTCGGGCGTGCGCAGATGCGCGAAGCTTGACTTTCAGAACCTTTGGTTCCACCAGGTGCTTGAGGGTCTATCCAGCGAGCAGCACACAGGCCAGCACCGTCTCCATCTCGGTACAAAATGCCAACCTTACCAAAGTGACTGAACGACTTAAGGGTGCCCTGTTGATGCGCTGTGCAAGAAGGCGGTGGGCCACACAATTGCCTGCACTTCTGAGCGCAAAATGGTCTAGACCTGTGCGTTTTCCGATGCCTCCGGCAAGGATCTTTGGCATCCGTCGACCCTTTGACTCTTGGTGGTGTGCTGGATGGGCGGAGGTGAAAACCTCCCTGTTTCGCTCCGGAGGAAAGTCCTGCAGCTCCCGCCACCTTGTGCGCACGCGGGTGGGTTTGTGGATGCAATGGCAAACATGCCCCTTTCGACTCGCCCCGAGACGACGCCCCCCCCGATGCCTATAGGGTTGTGTAAGATTTGATGGGGTTTCATTGGTTTTAGTACGGAGGTCTCAAAGTTCTGAGAGGTTTTCGAGGATGTCTGCTTGACACACCGGCATTAACTCGACATGCATGCTTGCGATGCCTAGCCCAACCCGAGAACTGCAAACTTTCTCGAGGAATTGGACACGTGCATCCTTGCATCCCCTGCGGGGTCGACCTCTTGAGCCAGAGGGTGTTGAATTGTAGGTGCTGCTTGGGTTTGGCCGACTGCGAAAGTCAGCTGTCGTCAGCGACGCAGATTTCCCCCTCGGCACCAAGACGACTGAGTGATGCTTCTCTTGGCAGCACCACATCAGCGGCCTTCATGAGATGTGCGTAGGCTTTTCAGCTTGGTGACTTTTCGTTGCACTTCGAGCTCCAGTGACGGTGTTGCGGCGACACGCTACGAAGGCATGGGATTGTCCGTTTCGGTTTCAGGTGGATGGCAGCCCCGAGGTTCTTATGATGGTTTCTGTGCTCCGAGAGCAAATGCACAGCGCTCTCGCATCTGTGCTTGAGCAGTGAAGGGCCCCTCATCCATAGAAGTTGTTTGCCTGCTGTGTACAGGTTTGATCGAGGGGGATCCAAGTTGCTTGTGCTAGCAGCTTGTGCGAGGGAGCTCCGATCATGTGCAATCACTATGAAATCTCGGGACATCAATTCGTGTTGTGCCTTTCAGTGGCCGTTCTGCAAGCGCTTGAAGGGCTTGGCGGCTGCTGTCCTCTCGCAGCGCTTCTTCCTTGGTGCACTGTGTGCAATCCGTTGCTGTGCCTTCCAGAGCGGCCCATGCTCACCCACATCTGTTGCATCAGTCAGCAATGGTTCGATATCCTTGTGTGCTTGAAATTTCAGATAAAGCCCGCGAAGAGATGTGAAGCTTTCATCGCAAACTGACGTGCCATCTGCCTCGAGGAGTGGATAGTCCCCGGCCTTCGAGCTTTTCCCACTTGTTTCTTCTTCGTTCTCTCAGATGTTGAGTCCCGCCTATCGTGAGGTTGCAGGCCAAGCTTGCTGCTCGCCGTCAAAGTGCCCTGAATTGGCTTCGGATGTGGGGTTGTCCTTACTCTGAAGTACAGCTCGAATGTTCTAGGCGGCATTAATTGGATGCTCCGTGAGCCTCAAAGCATGCTCGTGGCCTTCTCGCCGCTGAGGCTCTTAGTGTACGCAACCAGCCACTGTGTGGCACATTCCCTGCCCGACCAGCCTCCTTATCCCAAAACCGTTGAAAACACTTTCTGCTCAAGACATCGAGCAGTAGGATCGTAGGCGGTTCAAGATCTGTGGCCCCACGAATCGTCTTCGCCGTGAGTGCAACGAGCCATACATGGCAGACGTGCCTTCTGCCTGCAGGGGTGCGTTTCGGAAGCTTTCCGATACCGCAGATGAGCCCGGTGGGTGACCCCTACTCAGAACATGGCGGCTAAGCGAAGCCCATGTCGGCTTCTCTGCATGGCATCAACGTTCGTCTCCTGCCCGGTGCACTTCAGGTTGCTGATGTGCTGCTAAAGGAGCCATGCTTCCTTGACTGTTCTCCGGGGACGATCTTTTACCACTTGCTTTTCCTTGTTCTCTCAGATGTTGAGTCCCGCCTATCGTGAGGCTGCAGGCCAAGCTTGCTGCACGCCGTCAAATTGTGCTGAGTTGGGCGCAGCTGACGAGCTTTGCGCATCGATAGCTTTAGTGCCGAAAGGTCTTCTTCGTGGTAGGTGCAAAGAGCCAGACATGGCAGACACGCGTTCTGTCAGGAGGGGTGCATTCCAGAAGCTTTCCGAGTGCAGAGTGCATTCCCGGTCTGTCTCATGCTGCCAATACGCAGATTAGCCATTAGCCCTGGCGGGTGCCACTGAGCCCCTGGCGGCTAAGGCGGGGCCTGCACGGCGTCAGGTCCGCAGTCTGTTCACACACCTCGACTTGTTTGAGTCCTCGGCCTGTCTGGAACATCACTCATAGCATTAACTTGGTCTCTAACCCGACGGTGCAAATCCGCTTCCGGTCTCGAGAAAAAAGCGCTGCAGAACTTGCTGGGACTCAACTATCCTTGCACGTTTCGTTGGGCTTTGCTGTACTTCCATGAGTTGCTGCAGGAGATACAGTGATGTCGTAAAGAGGCTGCAGTCGTTGATGTTGTTTGTAACATATCCCGTTTTAAGCTTTCGGCCGTGCCTGGATAACAAAAGGTTGCAGGTTTTAGAGTCAGCATCTTTTTCTTTCGGAAAGGGGTCACCTACACGGTGGTGAGCAAGGGGGACATGCCTGCATCTGCATGTCCTGGCGCTCGCGATTTCCTATCGTAGCTCAGGCAGGCGCAGCCCGACGACTGAAAGGAGCGTACACGGCAGCGAGCTTGAGTTGTTTTGCGCTACAGTTAATCAGTCAAGTTGAAACATAGACACTGAGCCCTGGATCCTAGAGCCCAAGAGGCCGTCAAGCTTGAACCCTAATCCGAAAGTGCGTTTCTCTGTGCTCATGGCTTGTTCCTCAGCACGGCGCTGTCGAGGCAAACCATAAATGCTGCTTGTGGTGGCCTTCTCCCTTAAGTATGAGGTTTTACACTACGGGTTCTACTTTGTTGATGTTGCCGAAGGTCTGGGTTTGGTTTCAAGGTGCAGTTAGTTGTAGCCGGTTGAAGATTCTCTCGTTTACTCATTGATCAGAGCGTCTTGGGCATAGAGTTTCCCTGGAGTGTTTCCAAAGATTTCAGATTAACTTGTCGCATCATCGAAGCTGTAGACTCCTTCAAGCCGGTGACAACTACAGCATACAAAAGCCCTGACCCTGGACAACCCATGCAGTTGGTCTCATGAGATATGGGAGCCCTCGCAACATGAGACGGTGGATGCCTGACAACCACTTGACGGTGGCAAACGAGCTGAAGCTTGAGCACAAGAACATTCCTTACAAAGCCAAGCCGTACATGTCAAGCCTAAACCGTACACCCCAAAACCCTTTGTCACGCCATGTGCCACTGCCCGTCCACGGGCAGCCGGCTGTTGGCACCAACGCCAAGCGATGGCGGGCTCTCGGAGCATGCTGTTGAGGCCAAATGTGTTGTTTTTCGCTGTGTGAAAGGGTCCTTGGATGTCCGTACTACAGCAGTATCTGGAAGGCAGTATACCTGCATAAAACCCAGTCGCAGGTATTGGTTTTACGTCGTGTTACGTGCAAGCCTGCTCATCTTAGTTGGCTTTCCATTATGTTCAATTTGGGCAAGGGCGTTATGATTCCGAGCCCTCGCAACCCTCTGCGGGAGCCGAGGTGCAAAAGCCAGGTCTCGTAAATATCGTGGTACTCGAATTCCGGGGCGTCGAAAACCTTGCAAATGTAAGGGTATACTCCAATTCCGGGGCGTCGAAGCTCTGATTTGGTGCACTGGACGACTGTTCGCCGCTGCTGAAAAAAGAACACGCTGTCGGCAATGATGCTTTCGGGCTAATCGTCTTCTAGTCTTCTCTATAGGGGGCACAAGAAGCTCATCTTGCGTGCGTGTGGAGTGATGCACTTCGAAGAGTTTGGCTCAAGCTTTCCATTTTCCGTTGCTGTCATTTGTGTTCAATCCCACCAGCAGAGAGGCAGCTTTCAAGGGATTGTTCTAGCTGCGACATGGAGAAGTTGCAGTGCTTATCAGAGGAAGGGGAGCTTTCTCCGGCGGCAAGAAGGCTTTCGCTGAAAGTCCATTTTATTGCTACATTTTTCCAGATCCCCCCCGGCAGGGTTGCTGCTCTGACATGGATGTTTTCGCGAAATTATCGCATCCGTGCAGGGCATGGTCATGGCAAGTTCAACGGTGCCTTTTCCGCGGACGGCAAGTTGCTGTGTTGTTTCTGGCTGTTTGCGGAAGACGTTCCCGGCCTTAGTCTTTGGGACATGCTTCGCGGCGGGCTTCTGGAGATGCCATTCAGATTTGGATTGACTTCTATGCGCCGACTGCTTGCTGTCGCGAAATGGACAGATGCAGCTTTGGACCGGTTGAAGCAGGAACACTCGAAGCACCTCTTGCTGGAACGCATGGTGGTGTTGCCGGACTACCAGGGCAGCGGAGTCGGCACTGCTGCACTAAGCTTGGCCTTGAAGGAAGCAGACACATGTGGTCGAGCAGTGCCTTGGGCTTCTCTAGTAGAGGATGTGGTTTGAAGGGAGCTTTATAGCGAAGGCACGCAGATTGTCTGTGCTCCTTGCTTGTTACGTCCTGAGCCTCCTGATCTTCACCGTGCTGGGCTTGGGGGTCGAAAACCTGGGCGTCATGCTGCCCGGGCGCTACCTGGTCGCCGGCGGCCACTCGGCCAACGAGAACGCCAGCCCGCTGCTGGCGCGCATGGAGCGCAAGAGGGCCGTGTGGGTGAGCGAAGTTCCGCACCACACCCACTTGAACGAAGACTTTGTGAAGCCGTTCTGCGAGCAGGGCGGCGCTCCCGTGCCGGCAGGCCTATGTATCCTGGGATGTCAGTGTCCAGCTTCCCTCACAGGGTCTCGCAAGGGCAAATAGAGAAGAAGCACCACAACTGCTCCACATCTCAATTCAATAAAGGTATCGGGACCGCAAGCGCGTTCTGGGGAGTGCTTGCATCGGTTCCAAGTTGAAAGAAAGCGTAGTACGCAAGTTAGGCCAACCCAAGGTCCAACGGCTGCATACCATCCACTGAATGGCCGACGTATGCAGAAAGTCAGCGCC